AGGGCTCGCTGCGGGGCGAGGCCTCTCTGGGGCCCGCCCGGCCCGGGCTCGCCGCGCTGCTCCGGCGGCCGCGTCTCGCCGGGCTGTGGTAGCGCCGGCCGCTTGAAGCCGCGGTTCGAGGGGCGGCCCTGGCCCCCCCATCGCCAGGCTGCCCGCGAAGCGCTCGGCGCGAGGCTCTCGCTGCTGCCGGGGCCGAGAGTCCCGCGGGTTGCGGAGCCCTGTCCCGCTGGGGAGCGGTGGGAAGCGCTCAGCTGCGACAGCCACCCCTGGTTCCCGGGGTTAGGAAGCCCTTTCATCAAGTGCAAAGTTCTACCTGCACCAGCCGCCCGCTGCCATTCCCGCCCACGGGACAAGGTGGGGACGATTCCGCAGGGCTCTGGGTGAGCGGTTGGGGCCGCCACGTTGGCCGTGCGGGGCAGGTGCGGGGTTCTGACTGGAACCGAGCGACCCGACACTCACGTGGGTGTGGAACCCGCTCTGAGTGTGCTGAGCACCCAGGTCCTGCTTGGAGCAGGAGGTCTCCAAGGTGACAATTCCCTTCCCCCAAGCCGAGCGCTTGCGTTAGGTGCCATAGCGGGCAAGGAGAGCGCTCTGTGGTGCTGCTGTGGGTCAGGGTTTGAAACCCCTGATGGGGAAATGCGAGACACTGGAGGAGAGCGGGGACAGCCTTGCTGTGCAGGACGGTGTTGGAGCAGCTCTGGTGTGAGAGCTCTTTGCTGTGGCCTGTGCCCCATTTCTGCAGCTCCGCTCCTGCCGAGAGCGTGACTGGACTGGGAGCCTCCTGAAGGACAAGGGTGCCAGGGTGGGAGGTGACTGCTTTGACTCATGCCCTGGGGTATTTTGTTTCTCATGTTAATTAACGTAGAAATACCTTTGTAAAATCGGCTTGTAATTTAGGAAGTTTGATGTGCTGCTTTAAGGCTACTTTTAATTGTCGTCAGCGCAATTCATTGCTTTGCATGTATCTCATGATTGGCATAGAAGCTTCTATTGCTGTACTCAGTTTAATGAGCTTATTCCCCAGGTTACTTCCATTCCTGTAAACAGAAAATCCCAGCCCTGCGTTCCTGGAGGTGGATGCTTTGGAAGGGCAGTGACTTTGTTGTGCTAAATAGCTTTCAGACTTGCAAGTCTACCTTGCGACTTCCAGTATTTTTTACTTTTTGTAATTTWAAAAAAAAAATCCTTATACCTGACTTGAGCCTTAAAGCAGAGTACTTTAATCCTGAGTGTTTTAGCTGTGGCTGTTTCAGCGAGTTCAAGCAGCGAGCAGTGCTGGTCGTTGGCCTGGTGTTGTGCACGAGGCCGTTGTACTTTCACAGTGCTGGGCTTGTGCGGCTGCGGGCCCGCTCCCAGCCGTGGACCCGGCCTCTGGAGGAGCTGGTGGGCACGAAGAGGGACTGTTTAGTGTCGGTGTGAACGAGACCCTGAGCTTCCCGGTACCGTGAAGCTAAGGCCGCACGCTGCGAGTGATGCCGGTGTGCTCACAGCAGCGCCCTCAGAAAACGCTGCTTTATCTCATTCAAAGCCTGCGCTGAAGTGTTTTGAGTCCCCTAATGTGCTGCTAAAGTTACATAAATTTCAAGGTTTCTTACCAGAGGATGGAGGGAATAGATGTGGCAGTAATGGATGTGCTGAAAAGCTTGAATTACATTTCAGTAGAAAACAAGTTCTGTTTGTATTTTAGTTGGAGTTAAACCATTAAAACATTTCAAAATAGATTAAATTTGCTGCCTTTCAATAATACAGCAGAGTTGAACAAAAACGTTGCCGAATATGTTGTTCCATACTTTCTTATCTCTAAGATTTCTCTGGAGCGAAGCTTGCGTGAAGCAGACCCAGTTGGCTTCTTTCTGCCAAAGTGTTAAGTTAAATCTTGTTCCAGTTTATTTTTAATGTCATGGGTTGCAATTTTATGCGTGGCCGTTTTTCTTTTTTGCGAAGAGCTGGATTTGGAACGAAAGCAAAATGGCTCGAGGACGCAAGAGCAATAGCATCAAACAGAGYGACTTCACTAACAGCACCAACCCGCAGGATTTAGAGAGACGACTTTTTGTCGGCAATTTGCCCACTGACCACATGACGCGTGAAGAAATGGAAGAGATATTTTCAAAATATGGCAAAATAAGGGGTTAGTATTTTATTTTATGCCTTWTTGTGGCTGGGAATTCAGTCAAAGTTTAACGTTCATGCCTGTTGAAAGTTATTGGGTAGTGTTGAGAGSAGTGACTAATGCTGTGCCTGAAAGTGACCCTTTAAAGACAACTTTCTGCACCTGCACTTTCTCTGAAACTGTAATTACTTCAGTACAGCTGAAACCCAATGTGTGCATGAGCTGTGTTTAACCTTAGGAGGCTGAGCTGTGGTGCTGTGCCAAACAAATCTAGTATTTCAAGTCATTTCAGTCGCTTACTTGAGTTTTGGTCACTTAATGGACTTTTTTGGACACTATCCTGTCAGAAGGAAGTTCATCTACTTTGTAGTATTGTTTAATGCTTTAAATTGCTTAAATTTTGCATTCTGCTCCTGGTAGATGCGATCTCGAGGCAGCTGGGCGGGTGTTTTGCATAATGCCCCGTGCAGCGCCCTGCGGGGCGGTCCCGTCCTCCCTCGTAACCGCTCCTGCTCTGCTCTTGCCTCTGCAGCCCTCAGCATGTTCCACGGCTACGGGTTCGTGCAGTACGAGCGGCTGGAAGACGTGCAGGCCGCTCTGGACGGCGAGAAGGGGCGCCTCTTTAAAGGGTATAGATTAGGTAAGGAACTCGTCCGTGCTGTCCTCCCGACCCGGMATGTGTTCTGCTAGACGGAGCGCTCTTGTTCTAGAGCTCTCTGCAGAGTTCGTTGTGTGAGACCTGCCCCGAGTGCTGCTCTAAAACAATTTCTCCTTGGTTTGTAGTTTCCTCCCGAGTGCTGTGAGCCTCTGCAGTGTTTCTTCTTGCTACTTCAGTCTTTGGATTTATTTCCCTGTATTAATATTTTAATGAATCTGTAAGTCTACGTAAGAAATTATTCAGTGCAGGAGCCCTGCTCAGTGTTCACTGAAACCTCTTGTGCCTTTATTTTAAAATTATTTTATTCTGGTGCTTCAGAGGAACTGGTCACTGAACCTAGGGGATTGCCAGACGGGTGATCCAAACTTGGATTTGTTTTTTTTCCACTRCTGAAATTAATTTCTAAGTAACATTGCAAATTCTAGATGCTTTAAAAGATCTCTTTTCATAAAGATGAGAACTTTGCTAAATTTGCTGGGAGCAAGATTAAAACAGAAATGAATGTTAGAAATCTAGTTAACAGCAATCTGCTAAACATAACCAAAAATATAGTTCCACAGTAAGCCTATGGTAACATAAAACCATTTGGCTTACAAGGGAATATAAGGAGCAGTAAATTGCAGTGTTTAAATATAAATTATATTTGTATATTTTAATATATAAAATATTTATATGTTTAAAATGTGTAGTAACAAGTATAGCTGAAGAGGGAAGGGTAGCAAATGGGCAAGGAGAGTAGAAAGATGCAAGAAGAAATGCTGGGCAGCATCCCAAGGCAATAGTCTTAATTAGGAAATACTGCAAGTGTCTCAGATGCTAGTGGGATGATTTAGAAGTTATAAAACTTATTATTGGCAAAGACCCCCTCGCCCTCAGTTAATGTCTGCTTTTTTTTCTTCAAGAGGCAAATATTTTGTTTTTCAGATAGCTTCTGCTTGCATTTCAGTCATGAACTGAAAAAGMTAAAGCAGCTCCCAGCACTAGGGCTTTCTGTAATGCCACGTGCATGAAGACCTCCCRAGGCTATTTATGATGTTGTTCTTTAGATCTTGGGAAAAGAGGGAGTTTCTCAGGACCTAGAAAAGTCCTGCAGTTGTGTCAACAGGGCTGTGTAAATGGCCTGAGCAGCCTGGCATCACTCCCTGATAACATAATGGATTCCTTTATCTGACACTCAATAAGAAGTGAATGCAATTAACGTCAGTCAAAATAAATCTCATCCAACTAATTTACTCTTATGATGCTACAAGTTTTATGGATAGAAGGAGCAGTGTCAGCGTAGAAGACTTCTGCACGATACTCTATGATTAAGAAACTAAAACATTTGGAAGCAGCCTAGTGTTAAGTGTATTGAAAACGAATCCCACTGATGTGGACGGAGTTGCTCAGTGTGTGGAGTGGGGCCCTAGAAGAGCTGGGCCTGGCCGTGCAGCACTTCTGAGAGTGACTGGGGAAGGAAACGCACGGTCGTGTTATCAGAAGGAACGGGGTGATGAGTGTTGGGTCACTGCTAGTGGAGTGACTCAGGTCTGGGTGCAAACAAAACTGAGCTTTCAGCAAGCGAGATGTGGGGTCCTGCTCCGAGTGCAATAGAGTGCGTAGTGCTGTTGGTGCAGAGGACGTTGGCCTTGAAAATAGTTCGTGAAAGGAGCTAGTGGTAGGTAATAGTTACTTGAATCCAGGGAGCTAATATACTGCTCTTAGCAGGATTGCTTTTGTGAGCCTTGTACAGAAAAATAAAAAGGGTTCGTAAATAAGAGGTTTTAGTGCCTGTGGGTGTTTGCTGCTGAAATGCTGTGTTTGAGTCTGGTACATGTAGTTTAAAAAGGATAATACTAAACTGGAGAAGCATCAGGGTAATTTGAGGTTAACAAAGTGAAGAACRAGCCATGGTGAAAGCCTCGGCATAAAGAGGTGCTGTGATCTGTGTGTTACAGAGTCCTGCAGATAAGTGGGTTTGAATCCAGCAGGCAGAGGTACGACAAGTCCCTAAATGGAAACAGTTTTCTTTAACAGTGAAATAAGTTATATATGAACAGTTGGAGCTTTGGTGGAGACTGTCTCTTTGGCGTTTTTAAATTAGAATAGGATGTTTTGCTAAAAGATAAGCTCCCGTTCACTGCAACTGTTGGACTTGATAGGAATGCAATTCAAGAAAGTCTTGTCACTTGTGTCATTGAGAAGGCTGYGCTGTGCGATTGCAGTGCCCTTGACATCTCAAAATCTTACGAGACAGACCTTCAGTTTTTGCTCACATTTTGTCAATGTTCAAGTATTTAATCTGTAAATGCTGTTGGCATTAAATAAAATGTTATTAAATCTGTTCATTTTGCACAAGAAAAGAATCCCTGTGACAGCTATTTTTTCTTTCAGTAAATTATTTTGTTCAGATTAAAATGCAGTTGATTTTTGGAAATGTATGATACCAAATGTTAAAAAATCATAATCTAGATTTCTGCAATGGCATCTTAAAACAGAAAATAAAAAAAAAAATGTTAAACCAAGGAAGAAGATAGTGTCTTGCTTAAAGAGAAAATTTGACTTTGAGAGTGGAGAAAAATCTCAAAAAATATGTGCAAGAAGTACAGTTTCTTCAGGTATGCAGTTTGAGTATTAAAAATAACTGTTAGAACACAAAGACCACGCTCTGGGAGAGTAACTGSAACTGTGCATTCCACCAACACTTCCATGTCTGTTTTCATACCTTCAGTGAGAAAAGCTGTGTGGGTTGTACATGTCCATCAGTTTTCATTTCTGGACAATGCAACCTTATCCTGGAGAGAAGGTGTTTTTGGTCCTGGGAATGTTACCGTGCTGGATTCCTAGCTGAAGTTCACATTCCACTTGCCTCTTTCTTAATGTGAAAAGAAACACTATTTCTTGAACTAATCTGTAATTTTAATCTTGAAAGTCATCAACCTAATAGTTTGGGGAGTTAAGGAGGATAATAAGATCAAGGCTGCTTACAGACCTTATATACCATGGTCACTCACTTGAAGAGCTTTGAAAGTATTTAATGTCAATAACTAAGTGCATTTCACTAGTGATAGATTCTCAAAGAGCAAATGAGACCTAGTTTTCTTGGGTTTGCCTTGTTTGCCGCCCCCCCCCCCTTTTTTTTTCGTTAAACTCAGTAAAGTGTCAGGATTCATTTCTGTCTGTTCTTGCCCTCACTAGAGCCCTCTCTTTGCTCGCTTGAGCAAACTAGTTTATCTTCATCTGCTGTTAGGAAGGCTCTGCTCTCTTGCAGCAGAGCACTGTTTGCCTTATTAGTTTTGGGCAACTTTTTATCTTCCGTCTGAGGATGAGACTCCATTTCTTCCACTTTCCTTTCCTTTCTTCTACGTCACGTAAGGTGTTTCTCATGGAGATACTCAGAAGCCAACCAGATTTCAAATTTCTAATCTATTTCATCTGTTTGCATCGTTGGCAGTGGTGTTCTGAATGCACCACACTGACTTCGTAAGGTGCTCTTGCGCCGGGCTCCTTGGATCTCTTTTCCTCAGTGGCAGAAGTTGTGCGATTTGCTCCAGCAGTCCCCTGGAAGGCAATTGAATGTGCCATTTGAGAGCCCTTGGATCCTTTTTGACCAGGGTAGCAGAATGCTCCACTGAACAGGACTGGCTGTCATTTTAAGATTGTGCTGGCCAACAGTTTCCACCTGGAAAGGTTTTCAGACTCTACTTTTTCTCCTAGAGTCCATGAGTTGCATTCTGCTTGCTCATAGACTGCAGAAGAAAGAGATTCTCTTATGGAATGAAGAGTCTGGATGTAGGCCTGAACATAAGGGGTTAAAGTTTCACCCAGGCTGTCCACTCAATTTTGAAATCGGAAAAAACTATGAAAACTTGATTGCATTGTACTATCTGAACTTAATAATAAAAATTGTCAAAGTGACAATGTCTCTCTGCTGAATGGATTTTCTTGCATCATCTGGATGTCGCTGAACTTAAGTTGCTTTCATTTGAATTGTGCTGATGATCTTTTTTTGTTCCATAGCATTGAACAGATGGGTTGATTATTCTTTACAGATATTAATAAAGCAGCGGAAAGAAGAAATATGAATAAGGCTTCATCAAGGTCCAGCCCGACGCGAAGGTAAAGTACCTGGAGCAGTGAGTTATACTAGGAAGGTCATGCTTTGGGGACATGAGCCCCCTTGTCACAGTGCTAAATGTTTTTCTCTTCCCTACCAACACCTCCCCAGTCAAATGGAGATGCTCAAGTGAAACTATCAGGACGTGACAGCTCCAGCTTTAAGGGCTCTGCTGTCTCTAACACTTCGGGAGGCACCAGGCAAACTGTCTGTTGCTGTTACTACAGCTAAGTGTTGTGTTTTGCAGTACAGGTTGTACAAGACTTGTAAGGAAGAACAAACTTGGTGTTTGCTCCCAGTTCTCAAGTATTGGAGAAGCCAAGGCTTCTGTAGAGGATGCAGGGGGACTGTGGTATCCTCTGGGCTGCGCTGCAGAGGACTTTGGCATTTTGCATCTTGATATTGAAAGCTTTCTGTGCTGAAATGAGACCGGGAAAAGAGAATGTGATCAAAATATAGGACAGAATAAATGTTTCAATTGCACTTGGACATGTGCGTCTGCATTACCAGGATATGGAAGATGTAAACCTGCCCATCTGCCCTGTATTTACCACCCTTCAGGAGATACAGGGTGGTTYACCCCTGCACAGGCTGTGTGCGAAGTCTCAAGCAGGAGGAGAAGATATGGATTCTTCTGCCACAGGAAGAAGACTTCTTTTTCATAGCATACTAGGGAGTGCAAGAAGACATGCTGTGGTTGCACGTAGCGTAAGCTGTGTGTCTTTTATGCTTACGCTTCAAAGCTCTGCATGCAAAAAGGAGTGCTACAAATTGAACTTGAAGGTCATCAGGCTCTCAAGTATCTGAGATGCTGTATTAATTTGGATCACTGAATTATCATGCTGAAGAAAAATATGTGCAGCTAGCAAGACATCTTCCATCAAAATGGAAGGAACAGATGCCGAGAATTGCAACTGGCTCTTCTGTCTGTATTGCACTTACCCTGCACAGGGCACTTGCAAAGGCCAGAGAATGCAAAGCAGGCACTGGAAATCCTTCAGCAGCCACGGCTGGCGTGGCGGGTGCTGCAGGAACAAGGTACCTGGCGTGACGCAGTCAGCCTGGGCCCGGGCAGYGCCAGATATGCTGATGCTGCTAGCAGAGCCCCAGGAGCGTTGCCGGTGCAGAGGTGAGGGCGCTGCTGCCACATCTCGGGCTGGAGCCGCGTGGCATTGCCAGAGGCTGCAAGCTTTGTGCAGCGCTGTGCCAGCACCAGCAGCAGGCACTGATGCCACAGGCATTGGGCCCTTTTGCCCCTGCCTGGGTGCAAGCAGAGATGCTTTGCTGTGGGTTGCGGGCACTGAGCCCTGGGGAACTCTGCAGGTGCACGAGCTCTGGGCACTGATGCTCTGGGCGCTGCACTGCGGCCCAGACCAGCTACCACTGTGACTGGTGCCACAAACGCAGCTGTATCTCAGTGTCAGGGGCTCTGAGTCCGACCACACCGGCGCAAAGCGCTGAGAGGCCGTGGGCACGGCGTGAGCCCTGGAGGAGAGTGCAGATGCATAGGCCCTGACTGGCATGCTCTGCGAGGTCCGGGAGCCGCGGCTGCCGGGGCAGAGTCCCGCGCTCCGCAGCAGCTCCAGGCCAGAGTGCCAGCGGAGAGGCGTCCCGAGCAGCACAGCACGGGTAGGCAGGGGTGCTGGTGCTGCAGGAGCTGCACCTGGGGACACACGAGCAGAAGGCTGCTGCGCCATCACACCRGGTCTCTGCAAGCAGCGGGGCACGGGTGCAAGTTGCCAGAGCAGAGGCATCAATGCCACATCTGTAGTTCTGTTGCAAGAGTCATAAATGTGTTGTTCGTTCTGGATTTTTCTGTCACTGCAGGTAATGAATATGGCCTGTTCTGGCGCGCAAAAAAAAAAAAAAAAAAAAGGAATAAATGTCGTATGCAAAACAACTATGCTGCATCTGGCTGTTGTGCTGTGTAATCTTACGTCTCTAAGAAGATCAAATGCAAGAGTATTTGGCCCAGCCAACTGAAACTTGTCCTGAGCTTTGTTCCCCTTCCCGTTAGGCTGGTGGGAGGGCGCGGGGCAGAGGCCGTCGCACACGCTTTGGATGCGCTGCCGCTCGCGGGCAGAAGCACGAGGCCCATCTCTGTGCCTGAAACACGACGGCGGTTCTCGCCGAAGCGCAGGYGTGTGCCAGTGCAGTGCGTCTCTCGCAGGAGAAGACTCTGTCTGTTCTCAGTGGCAATGCTGGGKTTGTTCCACTATGTGTTCTCTCTCCGGCGTGAAAAGGGAGAATGCCAGCAATCCTGTGTATCCCCAGGACCTGGCGCTGTCCCACCTGCCTAAACTCATGCACCGAATCTGCGTGTCCTTCTCATTCACTGCTGGCTCTACCTGGTGTCGGCAGCTGACTTGCTGGGGCTGCCTCCAGCTGGACGCTAAGTCACTGCACTGTAAATGGACACAAACCAGCTCTGTGTGTCTTTCAGGAACTTGGTTAGTGTCAGCTGGAGACTATCRACGTTTCAGATTTTGGAAATAAAATAAATTTTTAAAACTTGTTTTCAATACTTGTCAGTATCCTGGGGAAAGGATGTTCTAAGTGTGTGAAACTCAATTGTTTCTTCACTTATTTTTTCTGATGTTCAGCAAATAAGAGTGCAAGTTGTTTTCTGTAGAAAACAAAATACTACCTAGAGAGAAAAAAAAAACCCAACCTTTTGGAAAAGATGAAGAATGGAATRTCCCTCTTGCTTGCCTCTGAAGACAGTACAGTACAACATCTGAATGGAGGGATCATTCAGATTGACGGAGAATCCTGATGAGGGACAGTGCTGGTTCGGTTTGGTACCCTCTTATGGGGCATCATTAAAAWAAGACTGCCCTGCAGGAACCATCCCTTCAAAGTCAGGACACGTCTGTAGCTGCCACTGTGCTCTGCTAGCAGTACAAAACCAACAAGAACTGACTGTTTCTCAGATTGCAAGAAGGTCTTTTTTCAGTGGCATACCAATAGCAAATTATTTCAGGAATTCYGTTGTCATCAAGTAGGGAATTTAATGGGTCGCTTGAATGCTGCTAGCTCTGCTATACTATGTGTTAGACTACAGCACCTTGAATTGCTCAAAGAATGCACAGCAACACCTCTGCTAGATAATCCATGGCTGTCTTGGGAGACTGGAGGCCTTGGAATGCTCTTGGATAGTTTTGTAACTGCCTGTTGACTTCTTCCACAGGTGTCCTACATTTTTAGTGATGCTGCAGTACAGAACTTTCTGGGACTTGCTTGGTTATAATAAGCATTCAAATTCAGAAACTTCTCCAGGATGCTTTGACAAATATGTTTGGGGCAATTCTTGCTGTTATGGGATAGGAGGGAGGATTCGGTGGCTGAGAGAAATGTCACTGGCACCTCAGGTAAGAGATGTGGCAGTAACGATATCCATGTGGTCTGACAGACTTTCCCTGGTGTTTTTCCCAGAGAGCAATATGCCTACGGGGATGGCCGAGACGCCAGGCGCGATCGCTCCCCACTCCGGGGGAGCCCACGAAGAGACCCAAGAGACGGCCGAGATGGTAGAAACGGGCGAGAGTCCAGAGATGCTCGAGATATTCGAGCTAGAGATATGCACGATGCCAGAGACCACAGGGGCCCCCGGGACATGCGAGACCCCAGAGATCTTAGAGACCCCCGCGATATCAGGGATCCAAGGGACTTGCGGGACCCTCGTGATGTCAGAGATCTTCGTGATCCACGGGAGCCAATGTATGATAGATACAGGGATCCACGTGATGTGAGGAATCCACGAGATATGAGAGATCCACGTGACATCAGGGATCTGCGGGATGTGAGAGATCCTCGGGACCCCATGTACAGGTAATCTGCATGGACTGTATTTGCCAACTCAGTCTTCTGGATCTCTTGCTTCTATGGTTATACTGGTTTGAGTGGTGTCAGGTTATTGGGAGCAGCAAATTTCTCTAGTTGGGGACAGCTGGGTACACATGGGGATGCTTCAGTAATTGAACTGGACATAGGCCTGCGTGTGAGACACTGGCAAAAGTTACTGCATGAGACATACTGATGTATGGAAACCTTTGCTGCTTCTGTAAATGTTGCAGACGAGATGAAGCCTATGACCGTTACCTTCGCTTTGAAGACTACTATCGGAGGAAGGATGACTCTTACTATGACCGTTACAAAGAGCATTTTGATAGAGCTCCAGTGAATTCAGAAGGTAAGTGTCTTCAAGAGTTAACATTTTAACAGGCAGATTCATATTYTCCCTCTGGAAGGATGGAAGAGATTCCTTCAGTAACGAAGGCAGCAAACATCTACAGTGCGTTAAGTTCTGTGACACGAGGTTGTTTTGAGATCTAGAGGCACCTGGCCGCATACAGCCAAGTGCTCCGAGCAGATCCAAAGGAYGTTATCTGTTCTGCCCATTTCTCTGGTTTGCTTTCAGACCGTCTCAAGCGTGAGGAGCGACGTCGAGAGGAACTGTACCGTCAGTACTACGAGGAAATCAAGAGACGTTTTGATGCAGAGAGGCCTGTGGATTGTTCTGTGATAGTGGTGAATAAGCAGACTAAGTAAGAAAATAGTTACGACTTTATTATTGGTAGTAGAAGAAAAAGGAGTTAAATTTATTTCTGTTTTTGGGCTGCTTGCCTTGCAGCTAGCTGCCTTTGAGGAGGGTGGTCTTAGGGCCCTGAGAAAGCTGGTACTTCTCTTGCCATTCTGGAAAAATATATTGTGGGATGTAAAAATGCCTTTGCACCTTTTGTTTTCCTCTCATCACCTACCACTACATCATCTCTTGAAACCTGRTGTACTCACTGTCACAACAGGTTACAGTGGCCTGTGCTTGTTTTTTGTGGGTTGAATGACATACCCTGTGCTAATATGTGCTCCTCAGCACTTGGTGCAAAGCAGTTGCCATTATAGAGTCATGGGGGAGATTCGTTTCAGATCTCTTCCTAAATTGGTTATTGTCAGGCATCGCTCAATACCATTATTAATACAGTGTGCAAGAAATTTAAAATCACTCCTGAAAACATTCACAAATGATGCTAAAAGCTTGTGGTAAATAATGAAGACTCTCTTGTGGTGCAGTCTGAACTCTTGTGAACACATCCTCGTTCAAACAGAATATGTTTTAACACAGTTATATGCAGGGTCATTCGTCTAGAAACAAAAATGATACCATGGCAGTAGAAATATCATATTTCTCTTGAAATGATTTAAAAGGATTTTAGAAGTAAAATGGACTTGCTATGGCAAAAAGGAGTAGTAAGGAATGCTCAGGAATGTATTTTGAGGAATAGTGACTGTTGCTGTGTTGGAACTCTATCAAAAGCTGAGAACACATACAGTAAATTTGTCAGAATGTATATACAGCTGGTACTACAGTTTTGATACTGAGTACTGTATCCTAACAAAAACTTTAGACTGGGCCCTTGAGTTTATGTTTAGGAAGTCTGCAGGACAGTRGCAACAGGAAAAACTGCTTCATAGGTGGTGTGTTTATACTGGAAAAGAGCTAAAGAGCTGAAAGCAAAAGCAGCAGAACAAATACACATAGAACTCAGGTGGGTGTGTGTTGGTACCTGCTCTCTGAAAATTAATGTTCAAGCCCAGAAGTGAGTCTGTGCCGCAGTGAGTTGGAATYAGGTACACATGGATAGTTAGGATGGTGAACGTAGCACAAGGAAACAACCTGTGGAAGTAGTTGCTTTATTTTATGCATGTTAGATTTCTGCTGGCATAATCTCACTTAATAGGAGTTCAGTTTAAACACATGGATATTAAAGCAAATTTTTAATAGTGAAAATCTGTTTTTCAGACGCTCTTTGTTAGGTAGGCTGAAACTTGTTTGTGATCTATTTCAATTAAACTGAAATGACAGATTGACAACACGTAAGGATAGGTTATAAGCTTTTATATTATTCAAATTAGGCTGGTTTAATACTGCCCTTCAGTTAAATTTCATGAAACCATTAGAAAAGTGACTCTGAGGAGAGAATGAATGTGCCAGGGCTTCTGTTTCTGTATGTACTGACTTGACCTGTGCTGGCTTTGCTTTGTGGTAGGGAGTACGCAGAGTCGGTGGGACGGAAGGTGCGGGACCTGGGCATGGTCGTGGACCTCATCTTCCTCAACACAGAGATGTCACTGACGCAAGCCCTGGACGATGTGAGCAGAGGAGGGTCTCCTTTTGCCATCGTCATCACCCAGCAGCATCAAGTTCACCGCTCTTGCACTGTTAACATCATGTTTGGCACCCCACAAGGTACTGAGGTCTCAGTGGGCTATGCAGCTGTGTGGTCACTCTGAACTTCTCAGGGTCTTGCTCCAGAAGGTTTTTCTTAAGCAGAATCACACRGGATGAAGTTCATTCTGGCTGCAGCATAGCTGGTTATTAATGAATCTGCATTGTGTCATAAATCTCAGTAAGATTAATTACAAGTTTCTGTAATATTTTACGGTCTTTTGCCAAAAGGACTGTTTAATTACTGGCAAGGAAAATCTCAGCTGTATTTTTAGCACCAGCCATCACCAGCCCTTGCATCCTAGGGCAGGTCATGAGCTGTAGCTCTAGAAATGATTGAACTGCTCCAGTAGACTTGTGAGTATTATCAGTGCAGCCTGTGCTTATCACTTGTTACTCTCAGAGACAGAGTGCTTGGGAAGTCACAAATTGCAGGACAGATTTTATAACCAAATGAGATTTAAGAGGAAAAAAATAGAGACAGTTTATTCCATCAAGGCTAAGATCTGACTGAAAGCTGGAAGCAGTTTTAAGARGATACACCTATAAAGTGGTTGGGTATATGTATTCTTCTTTAGCACCCTTTACACTGGTCATGTCATTTTCCATCACAAGGTGAAATTTGGTGGTTGTGAGACTGAGGGCAGACATCTTAGCAAAGTGTGGTTTTGGAAAGCCAGGCTCTTGCCCTGGTCATGGCCCATTCACACTCCTGTGCAGACATGGGTTGCTGACTGCTGTTGAGCTTCCAAAGGTTTTTTCTCCCTTACTGTTTCTCAGGTGATGTTTGGTCAGGTTCACCTGAGAGCGCCAACTTACAAATGCAGATTCGCTCCTTTTGGTTGTTGCTGACTGAGGAAGCCAAGTTTCTTTTAACATATGATGCAGATGTGATTGGAGGCCTTTCCATTCCACGCAGAAGTGCAGCCCAGCAACGTTTCCCCTRGACTTTGTATTGCCCTTGTTTTTTACTCTCAGCACCTTTACTTAAATAAAGAAACAGTCTTCTGTTTTCCTTCACTGGATCTAATACTGTAGTAGGTCTCATCAGAAGCCCAGTCATCAACTCATGCTCAGCTCTTTTTAGAAGTTGAATGTGCTGTAGTTGAATAGCACATGGACATCTTTCCATGCATGGGAGGTTTAGGGAGCCTGTGTAAAGCCTAATAGTAAAAYGAACCCTCAATTTCCTGTCATGGGGAAAGGAGGTGGAAGGATTTATAGATCTGTAGGCTTCAGAAGTGCCCAGAGCTTCATAGCCTTTTGGAAGATAACGTCCTCTTCATAATTTGTGTGCTTAAATCTGTGTCTAGGAACTATTTTCATATGTGCTTTGTGAGGTGGAAATAATGACCACAAAAGCTTTTATAATGTAGAAGGAAAAAAATGTTGGAATCAACTATTATTTGCTTTGTCATAAAGGAACCTTAAATTTATTGCTGCTTATTTCCCCCAGAGAATGAACAGAATGAGCACTATGAAATTCATTTTTTTTCTCCCTGTCTTCTGCATGCACACATGCTGTATTAAGTTTGACAATAAGGAGCCAAAAAAGAAAAAAAGATGTACATCAGTTTTTACTCTGCTCTGAGAAGCTAGTATCCTTTGCAGGGCAAGTCTTGGACCTGCCAAGAATTTAGCAACAGAACAGATGGAAGTTTCATGGTGGAAGCAAGGAGAATCTGTGAGAGAAGCAGAGGAGGTTGCTGTCTCTTAACTGGGGGAGAGGCAAGAAAGGCATTTGTTAGACTGGTGCGACATCATCTTGGACCCCTCTTCTGTTGAGGGAGCAGAGGATGGACTTGGGTGATAGTCTTGAGCCTTGAACTGGCTTTTRAAGCAATCGCAAAATCGAACTGTCTTTTTACTGCATGCCTAGGGACATTTCCAAGTGCGTGCTTGTGATTCCAAAGAGGTACCTGTCTGTTGAATGAGATGTGCTGGTGTGAGTGAGGCAAAGGATCTCCTGTTAATGTCACTTTGATTTACTTAAAGCGTTTCTTTTCCTTGTGCAGAACACCGCAACATGCCCCAAGCTGATGCCATGGTGTTGGTGGCAAGAAATTATGAGCGCTACAAGACAGAATCACGAGAGAAGGAGCGTGAGGAGATAGCCAGGCAGGCTGCCAAGATGGCAGATGAAGCCGTTCTCCAAGAACGGGAGCGCCCACCGCCCATGGAGGAGGGTGTCAGGGGAGGTCACCCCCCCGGGATCCAGACTCTGCTGAACCTGCTGGCAGACAATCGCTATCTAACTGCTGAGGAGACGGATAAAGTCATTAATTACTTGCGAGACCGTAAGGAAAGGTTACTTAGGGGGAGCACGGATTCTCTGCAGGGTGAGTTTCTCAGCCCTCRACAGCGTTGTTAATCACATGAACTGTGGGCTGTCCGGATGGGACAGGAACACAGTGGTGGGGTCCCAAGGGAGCACAAGTGCTGTAACTTTCTCACACGGTACCTCATCTTACTGAGACAGAGGTATTCTCAGGAGTCCTGAGACTCCTCTTACCCTTCATGTGGATTCTCTCATGGAAACCACAGAATTGATATATCTGGTTTGGCTCCTGCATAACGGGCAATAATTCTGTTAAGTGGTTTGGGGTTCCCAGAGTTCTGCAGCTCTTCTGTTTAGAGTGGGCAGGCACTGACAGTTGTGTCTTCAGTACGTGTCTTGGTTCCTTTAGGGGATTCTTCAAAGGCATTTGCAGAGCTTTAACCCTCTTGCTTTTCTCTTCCAGCACCCATGTCAAGGCAGTCTTTGGGGGCACCTTCAGGATCATCCCTGGGCAGCCAGTCCAGCCTCCCGAGCTCCCAGGCTCATCAGGGTTCGCAGCCTTTGGTCTCTGCTCCTTCTGTTCCAGTGTCCGCTGCTAATCCTCAGCAGGAGCTTCAGGCCAAAATCCTCAGTCTCTTCAACAGCGGGGCAGCAGCGGCAGCTGCTGTAGCCAGCAGCGGTTCTGCAGCCTCAGCTGGCTCCTCGGGCGGCACTCCCAGTCAGAACTTTGCTAACATGGCCAGCAGCCAGGCCCGCTCGGCGCCGATGAGCGCTGCAAACTTAAACCAAGCCCAGCAGAGATTGCAGGCTCCAAGCACGCAGCTCCCGGCTCTGCAGGGCCCCTCAAGGAATGCAGGTCCGAGACCCGGAGCTCCTCCGCCAGCTCAGTCACTCTACGGTCAGCACCAGAACCGCCTGCCTGCTCCCGGGAATGTACCTGCTCCAAGGCCAGTATCTTCTGGTATCAACTTTGACAACCCTAGTGTACAGAAAGCATTGGACACCCTTATCCAGAGTGGTCCTGCGCTCTCCCACCTTGTGAGCCAAACAGTGGCCCAGGGGCGAGCAGGGTCCTCAGCCCAGCAACCAATGGGTTCCTACCAGCGACACTATTAAAGCTGAGCTGTCAAGCCCTTTCCCTCCCCTTTGCCATTCCATACATATAGCTGTTTAAAGAGTCTCCTGTTTTTGACACAGGACAAATGCCCCTGGATGTGCATGGCCTCTCCACTTCGGTGAGAGTCTGCCCCCAGTGGCATTGCCACTGAGTGTTGCTAGCACTGCTCTTCCTCATGTTGATCTGGTTAGCAACATCTGGAGAGCTGTGCTCCACTTTCTCAGCGGCAGGATATGCTGGGAGCTGCTGTTTTGTCCAAGCCAGAAGTTGCTGCAGTGACAGCCCTTCTGCATTTTCCTCTCTCATGATAGCTGGTGCACCTTCACATTGCAGTGCAGTCTGATCTCACAGAACGGTCTTAACTGTAGTTTTTGGGTCAGTAGTTTTGAGAAAATGAGACAGGGGAGTGAGCAGAGTGGTACCCTGACTGGGACTTGAGACACACCTTTTTGAAATGGGCACTCTTTCTTTCTTCCTTTTTTTTTTTTCCTTTTTTTTTAATGGCATATAAGCCCATTTAAAAGAAAAGTATGGTGGTAGTGTTAGCAGCTGAACTCATAAAGTACATGTCTAACCACCGCTCAGTAAGCGAGGACAGCGCAGTTTGGCCCTTGCAGAGCCACGACCGTCCCCTGTCAGAGAGGCAAACATAAACAGTCTTTACCTGGCCAACGTGATGGAAATTGGAAGCTTGGTCTGAGCACTGTGGATATCTGGCAGTGAGAACTTGCAGCCAAGGCTAAGAATTCAGGTATTCTGTCAATTTCCCTGTACTCAAGTAGCCAGATTCCAGAGGAGTCTCTTAAATCGGGCATGTAAATTTCCTTTCCTTATGATACTGCTTTGGGGCAGTTGACTGCTGTGGCGCAGCTCTCAGAAATAACTGCAGCCGGTTTCCACGTGGTGGGTGCCTGTCCTCTGAACTTTCATCTTGCTGTTGATTGATATTTTATCCATCTCAGGTGCAAGAGGCAGTGCCAAGATGCAATAGTTGTGTTTTATACATCTTTTTCAATACTTTGGTTACTGCAGTCAACAGTTGAATGGGAAATCAGGCAGAATCTTCACCATGTTTTTAACCAGTGACATACTTTGATACAGAACACAAGACATCTCTGTGGTCCTCCTTTGCACAGCCTTTCTTGCAGTCTGTGGGCTTCCTGCAGGGGATTGACAGAAACTAAAAAACAAAGTTCATGGAACAAAGATTTATTTGTCCCAGGTGGTTTGTGTTGTAGCATTTTTTCTCTGTGCTGTTAACAAGAGGACATTACTTTTTAATAAAAAGGCAGGAAAAACGTTTTGCTGTGTTTTTGACACTTAACAACCTGAGTAACTACTGGAATACATTATTCCATTGCCTTTGCTGTTATTCTCTTCTTCCAGGTAAGTTGCCTCGWCGCGGCCTGCTGCTGCATGCTAAGGGGAACACGCACACGTTTTACTGCGCCCAGCTGTAAGGATGCTGTAGTCAGTCTCGGTTCATACTCCTTTAGTTTTAAAGCACTTGATAGCTATTTATTCTCCTGCAGTGAATTAAGACTATTCAGACAGTATCAAGGCGAGCAGCCCACGTGTCCTGGCAGGACGCTGCGTGACTACAGAKAGGCAAAGCATCTCCTCTGGGGGGWCAGAAATTTCAGCTAGCTTGGCACCTGGGGCACTTCTGAGAAGCTGCTGCACCCTTGAGGTTTCACCTCCTCTGCAATCTGCTGCCCCTGGTCATTGCTTGCTCCTTGTTATAGAAATAGCAGCCAAGTGAAAAAAGGTTATAGAGACCCTAGAAACAAGTGAAAACTCCCCAGCAAATAGTGAAGGGTGTAATAAAATCATTTATTGCATTTTGTGCAGACAGGAGTCCAAAAAAATTAATACAGTTAAAGCAATAAAGCATTAACAGGGAGCATTCAACAACTGAGGAGCCACTCCTCTATTATCTGCACAGAGAACACAGGGTCTGTATTGAGGCGGCCTAATGCACAATACTGAAGCACTCACAGAAAATTAAATGCAAGCTTAGTACTCTTTTTTTTTTTTTTTTTTTTGGTTTGCAACCTCTTTTATTTACAAGGTTTTAAACTTAATTGCATTGCTCTGCACACAGATTCTCTAAAACACAAAGCATACTAGGTCACTACATGTCTATAGAAATATTGCACTCGAAGAAAAGTCACTTGTATGGACATAGAACATCTAGCTACAGTGATTAAAAGATAGTGAATGAACTGACTTTGTGATAACATTCATAACAAATATATTGCACATGTAGCACAGAGAGTGTTGTAACCAGCAGCTCTCAGACCTGGGGTCTTTCTGCTGGTTGTTAGTCCTGCTACACAGAGGAGGGTCTTGACTCGTCTAGTGCAACCCCTTCACCTTACGCAGTATCTGCTCCTTCCTCTAGTCCAGCCACCGGACAGCCCAGGCCGGGCTCTGCCTGTGTGTGTGCGAGGGCCGTGTCGCGGCTTGTCACCGGTGCCACGGTGACGCAGAGACCGCCCTGCTCCGCGTGGAGGGAAGGGGGGAGAGCAGCTCCCCGGGCCRCTGCGGGGTGCGGGAGCGCGTGCGCCGTCCCCGTCCGGCCGGTGACACACACTGCCCTGCCKCAACGCAGCCCTGTGGTCAAGACCTTCCTGTCTGGAACAAAAACCTTAACGTGTCTGCGCATGTGCCGGAAAGGAACTTGCATTTCTACCACAGGAGGACACTGCCTTACCGAGGTGGAACAGCAGAAGGGCGCTCCACGGGGAAACCAAACACGCACAGAGCCGAACGTGCAGGGCAGGGCTGGGTTTGTAAACTAACATGCAGTGCTGTCTGCTAAAACTGGCCCTCTCCAGAGCGGCGGCGATGGGCGGCCGGCTGCCGTGCAGCAGAGCCCTGGGGTGCGGGGAGAGGAGGCGCCCGGCACSGCGGTCAGGCTGCCCTGGGGCTGGGGAGGCCGGAACGGCTCCCGAGGAGCGGCTGCCCCCGGTGTTCCCGTCCCTGCGAAGCAGCTCCTGCCCTTGCGGGAAGAGCTCGTGCTCTRCTGCGTCACGCGGGGATACACGGCCCTGCTGCCTGGGCAGCTGCCCTGCGGGTCCCCGGGGGCAGCGCAGCCCCCAGGCCGGGCAGGCAGCGCAGCATGGAGCCGAGGGGTGGCCGGCACACGGGCTGCCCTGTTGGGCACCGACCTGGCCTTGCGATCGGTGCTGGAACAAGGGACAGAGCAGCTGGGAGCCGGGCATCCTGCTCCGGCAGAGCCGGAGGGCTTTGCCCTGAGCTGGGGCTCCTCTCCTGCCCGTTGCTTTAGCGGGCTCCAGGCACACGCAGGACCAGGGCTGCTCCGTCTCTAGCTGCCCACACCTAGCACCGCCTCGGCCRCCCCAGCGCTCGCCCTGGCCCCGGGCACCGTCCCGTACTGAGCTGAGGCCGGACTCCGGTTCAGGCTGCTGCTGGAGAGAGGGAGGCACTTTGGGAGTGACGGAAATGCAGGAGCAAGGTAGGAGCAGGCACAACTGTGCAGCTGGGCTTGGTTTTTGGTCTCGGGCTGTGCCCAAGCAGTATCTTAAAGCAAAAGAGCAATCCCCCTGCACATATGCTGCCTTGAACCCAAGTGGCCCCTGCAGCCATGGCTGCACTGGCGCTTGCAGGAGCGCAGCGGGGCCTTGGCTTCCAGAGGGGGGGCAGGTTGATGCCAAAACCCTCCCAGCAGAGCGGCCCAGCGGGGCTGCGGGTCCCCGCGTGGATGCGGCAGCACTCGCTCGCTCTGGGCCAGCTGCGGGGTCCCGCGAGACCCCCGGGGCTGGGGGTGGCTCCAAGCGGGACAGGAAGAGGAGTGGGGCGAGTGCCGCGGGGGCCAGGCCAGCACAGGAGCCAGCACCACCGGGAGAGGGCAACTCTTAGCAGGCTGCACTTGGAGTGGAAGCTCAAATCTGCTGTGAAACAAGTTCAGAAAAGTCTGTAACTTCTTTTCCCTGAAAACTCTGAAGAAGCTAAATTGAGAAGAGAACGAACCGGTGAGCTAGTCCTCCCGGGGCTCGGGGACCGGCAGATGTGGCCCCGCGCCGARAACCCGGGTGACAGCGGGCGGGCGCCCTCCCTCCGCGGAGGAGCCCCCCGCAGCCGCCGCCCCGGTGCTAGCAAAGCCCTGCATCTCTCAGTATAGATATAGATCTCTATATATAGACTTCATCTGTTCTATTAACATAAATATGATCACTTTAAAAATACACGTACTGTACTATGTACACTATGTACAGGGGCTGGGGACAGCTGCCCTCAGCACCGCTTCCTGCRTGGTTCCTAGAACCGTTCACATTTGTTAAATTTCTCTAACGTGAGAGATGCTTTGGGGGGGGTGGGGGGCCCCGCAGCCGGGGTGCAGCGTGCCAGCGGGTCCCCGCGCCGCCCGCCGCGGCCCGTGTGCGCGGGGGGCACCGCGACGAGGGGCTGCGCGACCGCTCCGCGGGACGCCCA